GAGAGAATATAGATATGGACCATCTCTTCAGGGCCTTTGAGTGGGCTTCCCCAGCATCAGGTCCCTTTTTTTTTTTTTTTTTTTTTTTTTCCCAAAACAGGGTTTCTCTGTGGCTTTGGAGCCTATCCTGGAAGTAGCTCTTGTAGTCCAGGCTGGTTTCGAACTCACAGAGATCTGCCTGCCTCTGTCCTCCAAGTGCTGGGATTAAAGGCGTGCGCTAACACCACCACCACCCCCTTTAAAGATTTATTTATTATGTATGCACTGTTCTGCCTGCAAGTCAAAAGACGGCACCAGGTCTCATTACAGATGGTTGTGAGCCATCATGTGGTTGCTGGGAATTGAACTCCGGACCTCTGGAAGAGCATCAGTTAGTGTTCTTAACCTCTGAGTCATCTCTCCAGCCCCCAAGGTCCCTTGATAACTCTTTTATTCTGTCCCTACCCATGATATTACCCCTTGGCCTGACCCATGGAGACATGCTCACATTTAGAGCCAGCCAGAGTTGCCCTATCTCTTCTGGGCTTGTCCCGTCAGCTTTTCTCATCAGTGGTAAAACATAAAAATCAGCCACCCCACCCCTCACCCTCCTACACACACCCACACACACTGACTTGCAGGTCTGTTGGTCTGTTTTCAGAATTAAATGAGATGTTGCAGATAAAAAGTCTGAAGAAAGAAAGAAACAGTACAACCTCCATGTCTGCCGGTGTCTGTTGAAACAGTAAACCTTCACTCCCGGAGCCCCAGGAATCTCTTTTTATCATTTCCCACAGAGAAGGTTCATCAGGTGTAATCCAGGTGGTGGATGGGAGGATGTTCCCTGCAATACCTTACACAGAGGTGAAAAATCGTAAACAGCTGAAGAGGCCATTGATAGGGACCTGATTAAATTAGGACCATCCGTCTGTGAGTCCTCTGCTATAATTAGAGTCTGGCAGCATCTACACACTGTCTTAGGCAGATCCCCACGTGGGGCTTTATGAGCAAAGCCAATGTAAACACCTACAGAATGACTGCACAAGCTCTTCAGAACCCTCCCACGAACAACCTCTACTTCATCCATCCAAATATGTAGATGCGATTAAAAAAAAAAAAAAACCCAGCAAGGGAGAAAGGCCTTCCCAATAGCCTGGCTGTAATCTCTAGGGAGGGGTTCAGATGGAGGTAGGGGGGTGGCAGGAGAGGGGATTTAGATGGAGGCGGGGGTGGTATGTGCATCAGAGCAAATGTCACCTTGCTGGAGTTGAAATGTTTTACCACACTCTGCGTCTGTGTCACCGGCTTGTATGCGGAGTGAAAATTCAATGGCAAGCACAGAAAGCAGCACTTAGCCAGCACTCAATCAAGGCTCGGGGGCCGTAATTATAGCCACAGTTCAAGGAGGAGCCCGCAAAGGTTCACAGAGCCTCATGTTGACGACTTCAGAGTCTCAATTCAGGGATGAAGCCCCTTCAGCAGGCAAATGACATCCCCAGGCATTTAAGAGGGACAGATCTACGCCATTCAGCTTGGCTGGGCTGAGGAAATGGCCCACCTCTCCCAGAAGAGCTGTGTGCCAAGAAAACTATTGAACTACATAAAAATCCATCCCTGAAGTCCCAGAGGCATCCTTAGGCTAGAACACGGCCTTTAAATTAGATGGAGGGGGGGGGGGAAGGCACATTTTGCCTGTAACTCAATTCCAGGTTAGTGAGAGCTAGTAGCCAAAGAACTAAAGCTGCCCCCAGCAGAGACCACCCATTAAAGTCCTGTGATACTGACTGTGAGGGACACTCTAGCCCGGCTAAGAATCACTGATAACAAGCACATGTTCCCATGGAAACTGCTGCACAGACTCCTGTGGAAATTCTTTCTGGGGGTGGAGGCACAGCTCCTGTACCCACTTCCTGGGTTTAGGTTCTAGAGGTAATATTCTTCTGCAAAGGTTGTGGAGACCTGGAGCCAACTGAGGGGCAGGCAGGGGCCATCAACTTCTAGCCCTTTACCACTCTTGGGAAAGGCTAAAGGTGGGAAGCCTTAGGCTACCAGGTGACAACACCACAAAGAGTCAGCAGTCTAGGCCAGGAGAGTGGACAGAATTCCTCCAGGCAGGGACAAGGATGAGCTTCACCAATGAGATGTCACATCAACCCTCCTTGAAGACCCAAGGCTTCCCTTCACCTTACCCATCCAGTCACCCTCTCTCTCAGCTACCCTCCCTCTGTGCCCCTTCTGGGGGTGCTGCTAGACCCAGAACCATCTCCCTGGCCCCCATCACTTACCCTTACCCACCTCCTATCCCCAGTAGCTGGAGAAGCCCCAATGCCTTCTGGGAAGGGTGCTTCCATTTTCTGAGGAGGCCTGTCTCTCTGCAGACACACCCCAGTGCCCTAGCAATTTGAATCTAGGAAACATACACTCACCAGCCCTCCGCAGGGACCAGGGACCTCCCCATCTGTCTTTACTACAACATCCTGGAGTGGTCTGGATTATTGCTGGAAACCCAGGCCCAGGCAGGCAGGGAGTGACTTAATCAAGTCTGAGTTGCTGCCAGGAGGTGGAGCTGGGTCCTAAGGGAGGTCTTGTGGCCACCCAGCCTACCTCTCCTCACCCTTGCCATTCACAGTGTGTCCCCAAGGGGTTCACATTCAGGGTCCCCTCCTCCTCCTTGTCACTGCCACTGCACCCCTCATGCTTGCATTAGCTCCTCTCTCCAGGCTCTCAGGCCTAGGGTGGGTGCTCAGTCTTTTTTGTTGACTACTAGAAGACACAAACATTCTTCCCTCACCCTCCCCAATATGGACTGTGGACCCCTTAGGTCCCATCCTGAACCCTGAACCCTGAACCTCCTTTTCCTCCTCCTCTCTTCCTGCTCCCTCCCTTCCCAGACTCTTTTCTTGATGACAGAGCCTTTGGGAACCCCTGTCCCCCACCCCAGGCCCAACTTTGCCCCAACCAGACCTCAGCCACCACACCACTCTGGCAATGTCTTTGTCCCCAGGAGGGGCAATGGGTCAGTCTTCCTGGGGATCCTAGGCCACGGTAAAGAACTGAGATTTTATTGCAAGTGAAATAGAAGCCATGGCAGGCTTTTCATGGGGAAGGGACAAAAACAGAGTAGGTTTGCCAGGTTCGCTCAGCGGCTTTATAGACAAGGGACAGTGGAGACTGCTGGGAGGCCTGGCTGCTGGATCCTGAGCAAGGACACCACATGAACTCAACCAGGCTTCCTCACTCTCCTGAAAGGGCTGAAAAAACCAGAGTCCCAGTCAGAGAATCCAGAGACTGGCCATAGAGCTCCAGAAATGGGGAACTCAGCAGCCAAGTGTTTGCTGGCTAAAGTTCCCAACCCAGCGCTGGCCTTGTCTCAGGTTGCAGGAATCAGGAGCCAGGAGACCACTCAGTGCCAGGCAGTTTCCCTTCTTCACAGACCAGAAATTAATTAAGCCAGCCTCTAGGAGCACAGACCTTCATTCAGCCTAGCAGCCCACGAGGAGCTTTGCTTGTTGTTCCCAGAGTTAGGGCCTAGGTAGAACCAGGCTTGTAGGTTGCTGGCCATCCACTGGGCCCAGAAAAGCCTGGTGCCACTATCCGAGGGCACAATGAGCTTCTGGAGGTCAGTCTTCGTCTTCCGCTCTAGCCTTTCTCTTCCATCAAGGAGGGTCTCACTTTCAAAGTAGAATGTGTTGCCTGAGGGGAGATGGTTCAGTACTGCTTGGGCCAGGCTAGGTGTCTGCACATCGACACCTCCTTGTCTCCTAGGCACTTACTGGTTTTGAAATGAGAACATCCCAGGAACTTTTGAAGCATCCTATCAAGCAGGGGTGGGGGGTATGGATTGGCCTTTCTGTTCCACAGATAAACTGTTTCACAGATAAACTGAGTCTAGGACAGCCAAAGGAGAGGCAGGCAAAGGGGAGCCCGGGACACTGAGACCTTCAGTCCCTGTCTTCCAAGGAGCTGATTTTTCTATTGCAGGGGTGCCTGGAGGGTGAAATGAGGGACCCTTTCAATGAGTTCCTGAGGGGCCAAAAGGCTGAGGGGCCACTTTTGTCCACACTGGCTCGAGCATGTCCAGCACAGAGACCTGCCCACCTACCCCAGGAGGCAGAGCACAAGGCACATAGGCAGCAGACAGCTAGGCTGGTCTCCATCTGAAGCAAGAGCAGGATGGGCCAAAAGCAAATAAATAAAGACAGAAGGAAATGGGATGAAGCTTCAGGTGGTGGGGCCACAAGGAGGGGATTTGAGGGAACTGGGTCTTAGCGTCGAATAAGGAATGGAGGCCAGGAGAACCAAGGAGAGTAGGCGCAGTGAGGTGAATGCCCACACAGGCTAAAGGGAAAACAGTTGGAGGTTCTACCCTTACCCCCCAAAAGCTGGAGTCTCCTTTCTGGCCAGCATGGATGGGACCTCCCTGCTCCTGGCCCTGGTTCACCACCACTTGCTGTATGCTAAGCCTCCATATCTGCCCTGGGCCCAACCAGCTTCCGTGCAGTTCTGTGATGCCCATTCTTCATCTCTCCTTAGCCGAACTGTTTTCCAGTTCCACCCAGTATGTGGCCACCTTGTGTCTTTGGGCTGACTGAGCAGGTAACATGGCTCAGTTGCCAGACACAGGCCTGGCAGGCATCCCACTGTGTTCTCCTAGGGGCAGGCCTGCCTGTGGACCAAGATGTAGGCTGGTACCAAGAGAGCCACATACACAGCTCTGCAGGGCATGACAATAAGAGAAGCAGAGGCAAAGAGATGGCCAGTGAGACTGAGGAGCACTTTGTCCACAGGGCCAGGGGATGAATGGCACTCTTGATGGAGGGGACAGACTGGGCAAAAGCCCAGAGATGTGAACTATGGGCTGGCATGCAGAATGTAAGAGCAGACCAGGCCAAGGCAGGGAGAGCCATGTGCAGGTGAGGTGATGGCATGTCCAGCAGGCCCTAGTCCTGGCCCAGATCACATCTTTGGACAACAGAAGTGGTCCTAATCCAAGAAAAGGCTTGGGGCCTATCGAACTTCTCCTAGAGATTTTCATAGACGAGGTTAAATTCATTGTCTTCCTCAAACCTATTCAGTTTGTCCTGGGAGAGAGAAGGGAGGGAGGGGGAGAAAGGAAAGAGAAATATTAGGTAGGAAAAGACAAGTTTGAACCAATGTTTGTTTATTGCTTTAGTCTCATTGTGTAGCCCAGGCTGGCCTTGAATTCATTTCGATATTTCTGCTCAGCCTCCTGAGTACTGGAGTGATAGGCTTGAGTTACCACGCCTGGCTATGAATTTGTACCAATTTAGTTTTGGTTGGGGGCAGGCAGATAGCTTACTGAGTCACTTTGATAGGAAACATGACCTCTGTCCCCAAGCTCACCTCTTCTCCTGCCACACCTTTCTATAGCTGCCCTTCACCCTCCAGCCACAGCAGCCTCCCCTGGCCTCCACACAGACACCCAGTCCCTAACTACCAGAATTCACCCACCCAACAGGTGCATCTTAAGAGAACCAGGGAGCCCTCTACAGGACCTATCTCTCCACACAGGGCTACTGATATCTCCGCGTGCCTTTGGGGTCAGTAGTTTATTCCTGCCTTGGCCAGAGCCTGACCTCTCTATAGACATTGATTAAGATTTCATCAGTGATCCAGGATGGGAGTCCCTGCTTCCAGTTAGAGCCTAGTTCAAGGTTTTGAAACCTAGAGGTTCAACGAACACGTCAGCCTGGGCTGAGGGAGGCAAAGTCCCAGTTCCTGTAATCCTTGAGGCTTCTCCAATGTGCTGAGAAACCACCCACCTTGCGGCCCCCCACACACACACCAGCTTGACCACACTGCTGCTTTGCAGAGTTCACAGCTCAGGGGCTTATGTTACTCTTTTGAATTCTGGCAAAGCAGGCAGCTCAGGTCAATATTACTCATCCACTTTACAGATGAGCACACTGAGGTTTAAGAGAGAAAGTGTAGTGAACCCAATGCCCTATTATAATAACAGTCTTGAGCAGGCCAGCCAGCTCCCTGGCACCAATACACATCCAACTCAGACTATATCAGCACATACCTGGGGCCATCTGGAAGCCTTATGCTCTTACTTGATTGGCCAGTGTAGATACTGCACAGTGCTCACCAGTGGTAGTTATAATCACCACACTGTGTGAATTCACATTGGGTCCTGGGTTGCCCTCTCAGCACAGTGAGCTATCCTCAAAGAAAGTCTGGGAGGTGAGGATTACTCTGGTTCCTCTGATTACAGACCAGGAGACTGAAGCACACAGAGATAAGCCCCTTCTCCAAGTACCTCCTCTCAAGCTGCAGGGCTGCTGAGGGATCAACCAAGTTTAAAGCTACCAGTCCTCCTAGCCACTAGGCCAGCTTGTGGGGAGAGGGCATTCAACTGCAGGTGGCCCAGTTCTGTGGTCTATTAAATCCACATGGCACAGACGAGGGAAGGGTCAGAAAGGAGAGAAGGGAGTAGGCTCCATGTCCCCAGGCCCGGGCATACCTTGGAGGGAAGACTTTGGCTGGAGACAGAGCTGGCAGTCTCTGCCTCGATGCAGGCATAGACCTCTGTCTCTCGACGCTGCAGGTCCTACAGGAAAGAGGGCACCAGCATCAGTGGCAAGTGCATAGAAGCGCAGTCCCTGGGTTCCTGGATCAATCCTTCCTGCCTGTTGTTAACCTGATGTGCTGTGGGGAGCCCAGGGAAGGGCAGACTTCTGGGCTGTCCCCATTAAAACTGCCAGTCTCTGAGCCACCTGGGTCCCTACCCTGATTATGCAGGGTCATCCCTGTCTATAACTCACCACTTTCCCCTAGGACCACCAGGAAGGCCCAGCACTAGACTCTGTCCAGATTTCCACCTGGCTGGTGGAAAGACACACTGTCTCCCACCTTCCCTGACAGTCCTCAAGTCCTCGAGGCCTCAGCAGCTACAAGTCCCCTGCATGACTCCCAGAACCCCTGCTAGCTTCTGCCTTCATTCCCTGGTTGAGAGACTGCCCGTTAGGGAATCCCATCCACCCATCCACCTTCTAGGTCTCTTCTTACTCACTATCCATCCTGGACTCCCAGAGGACCCAGGCACCCAGTGGGGTTACTCCTCATCCATCAATCCTTATGCTTTGCTGGAGGATTCCAGAATCCAACTCCAGAGCCCAATGTACACCTCTCTCTCCCCAGCCTATCATTATCCCCTCAGCCACCTTTTTCTGGCCATCTAGGCCAGAGTCATTTGTCAAATATGTACCTTTGGAAACGCATGCTCCCACTCTCCCCTCTGACCATAGCCCTGCATATCCATGACTCCTCCAGAGAACTTCCGTGGAGCTGGGAAGCTGGGACCCAATCTCTGTAGCTCTCTTAGATCTAATCCAAGGCATATCCATATCCTTCAGTATACTGGGAACCTCTTGGGGGCCAGGGACCATGCCTGCTGTCTGTGGGCTCCTGACTCTGTAGCTGGACTTGGCACATGAGACTGCCACTGCATGAGGCCCTTACTAGGTGTGTGGGACTAGTCCACTCTGAAGAGTCTTTAGCAGTCAGACTACAGATTTCAAGATGGTCAGGAGAATCAGGCTTTGAAGTCAGACAAGACCAGGGTCAATTATTGCCTCTGGTGTCTGCTGCCACAGGCAGCTTCTTTGTTACTCTGTGCCTCAGTTACCTCATCTATAAAATGGAAACTATCATATCTGTCCTACAGGCCTAACATGTGAATAAATATGAGGTGGCACATAAAGAGCCTTGCACAAAGTCAGGCAAACAGTAGGTGCGTAATATGCAGTTGTTTGATGATCATCTGGGAAGGCATAACATTCCCCTTCTCTACCACCCCAGCTGGGGTGTTTCAGAGCACTAAAACAGAGCTTGCAAAAGCTCAAGCAAGAGGCCTTCCCTTCCCCAGTGTACTTGTCATATGGATGCCGGCTTGTTGCCAAGGAGGCGGTTTCCCTGGCAACAGTCAAGCAGGGGTTGGTGAGGCAGGCTGGAGAGACAGGTGGTGCTCAGAGGCAGGAGGAGGGTGGGGAGGTGGGAGGGGAGAAGGGAAGAAAGTGCCCAAAGGTAGCCACGCATGAAAACCTCTGTAATAAACCGTTTGGCGCTTGGGAAACCCTAACTTCAAGGGCATCAGACACAGGGGTGGTGAAGCTGTCCTGAGGATTGTTCATAATGTCTCTGAGCCAGACAGAGGGTGGGGCCTGGGAGAAGATTTTTCCAACCTGCCTCATTTCACAGGGAAGCGAACTTCCAAGGCCTGTTCTGACCCCTGTGGGTCTCTGTGCCTGACCAGAGAACTGGCCTCCTCCCAGTGCACAGGATAGGACATGTTGCCCAATCACACTGTGACCCCTTGGACCCTTTTCAGACCTGACAGACCCAGGGACCACAGGTGGTTCCCCCTCTCTCATGTCTCCACTCTTTTGAACTGCCATAGCAGGTGCAAATCCAGAGAAGCCAGGGACTATTAGAACCAGGGAAGGGCACCCTGTTTCTGGCTGCAAAAGGCAAGGATGGCCATCAACCTAGCTGCTGCAGAGTGGAGCCTTTGACAGTCCTGACCTGCTGGCTATATTTGCATTCAGGGTATGACCTGCTGTTCAGGCTGTGAAATGCAGGGTAGAGCCTTGTCAGCAGGACACTTCTGATCTTCACATCCAGCCCTGTCTTCCTGGCCTTCCTCAGCAATGAGCAGCAGGGCTCATGGGGAGGCTTCCTCCCTCAACTCTGCACAGCAAAGGCTATACTGGATGAGACTGGGCTCTGCCAGATTGTCTCCAGGCTAGGCTCTGCGGTGGTCGGTGGTCGCTTGCCTGACTCAGGTCCTATAGGCTCTTTTGCTTCCTGCTGCCCAGTGGGCAGTTACAAATACTCATTAGCCTGGTAAAAGAATTAAGGTCAGCCTCTAGGCTGGTTTAGGGCAGTGTAAAGCAAGCAATCTGGGCCCGAACCTCCTCTGAGAGTACTGGACACTGAGGTCATGGGCTAGCTCTGAGAATACAGTTTAGAAATCAGCAGTACTGCCGGGCACCCAGCTCTGGGCCGGGTGTCACCAATCCACTCCTGGGAAAGATCTTCCAATACTGAATCTGAGTGTTAGAAAAGTCACTTCCCAGAGCTGGAGAGATGGCTCAGCAGTTAAGAGCACTAACTGCTCTTCCAGAGGACCTGGGTTCAATTCCCAGCACCCACATAGCAGCTCACAAATGTCTGTAACCCTAGTTCCAGGGAATCTGGCACCCCCACAGAGACATATATGCAGGCAAAACACCAATGCACATAAAAATAAATAAATCTTTTTTTTTAATAACCTCAGAGAGGACAAGAGTGAAGCACTGGAGGGGACACTGGGCCAGGCAGAGGCAGAGAGCAGAGGTGAGGGGGTCTTCAAAGGCTGCTGACATCCCATTAGCTATAGTCATCCTCTCTACCCTGCATCAGGTCTCATGATGTAAGATGCTCTGGGAGGTCAGAGCAGACTTCAGGACACCATCCCTGAGCTTGTGCAGAATGAGGAGGGGGCTTGAGGGCTACTGTGACCATCTAAGGAAGAGCTGGGCATGAAGACTTTGGAGAGACATAGAGAGGAGCCAGGGGAGGCTGGTGTGTATATTATATTATTTTAATAAAGGCCATCTGAGGACAAAGTTGGTATAGAACTTTGGGCTCTGAACTTGACCTAGGGTGGGATGGCAACTTCTGAAGGATTCTGGTGGTCTCAAGAATTGCTTCTGGGGCTGGGCGTTGGTGGCGCACACCTTTAATCCCAACACTCGGGAGGCAGAGGCAGGCAGATCTCTGTGAGTTCGAGGCCAGCCTGGTCCCCAGAGCGAGTGCCAGGATAGACTCCAAAGCTACACAGAGAAACCCTGTCTAGAAAAACCAAAAAAAAAAAAAAGAATGAAAGAAAAAAGAATTGCTTCTGTAGGCATAGTCATGTACACTTTTAATGCTAGCACTTGGGAGGCAGAGGCAAATAAATCTCTGTGAATTCAAGATTGACCTATTCTACATAGTAAGGTCCAGGCCAGCAAGTGAGACTGTCTCAAAAAAAAAAAAAATTAAAAATTAAAAAAAAAAAAAAAAAAAAAAACTGCTTCACTACCTCCACCTGCAGGAATAGGAAGGGCTGGCCTGAGCGACTGAGAACAGCCAGCATTTCCCAGGATGAGGGTGTTAGGAGGAGGCACTCACAAGGTCTGGAGATTGGAGTTTGGCTGGGAATTACAAATGAGAAATCTCAGTAGAGCTGGGTCCGAGGCTCAGAGATGTATGAGACATAAGCTGGGGCTGGTCCAGGCAGGGAGGCTGTTCAGAATCCTTCCCAATGAGATCACTCAGGGGTGGGGAATGATAAAAGAAGACGGGGTCTCAGGGCTGAACCCCAGTGTCTGCACCAATGTTTGGAGATTAGGGTTCCATATAGTTCCCGAGGAGGAATCAGTAAGAGGGGGCTGAAGGGGTGTGGCGGTGAATCAGGGAAGGATCAAGAAAGAAGGAAATGTTCTAGAATCAAGGAGGAGGGAGCACTCAGCTCTCTCGAAGCTGCTGAGTCATCAAGGGACCGGAGGACCCAAAACTGCCTGCCACCACAGTGACTGCTGAGGAGAGCTCTAGTGAAGGGTAGCAGCAGAACTAGCCAGCCAGAAAGGAGCTAAAAGGGCTGGGAGAAGCCCTTGCCACACAAGGGCCTGAGTTCAAATCTCTAGAATCCATATGAAACCATGTGCAAGTAGTGCGTGTCTGTTATTCCGGCTCTCCAGCAGTAAGATGAGAGGCAGAGACCGGAGAAACCCTGGACAATCACAGGCCAGCTAGCCTGGAGTATGCAGCAGCGAACACAAAGAGACCCGGTCTCAACTAAGGCAGAAGGCGAGGACCAACGCCCCAGGTTGTCCTCTGACCTCCACACACATGCTAGACAAATTTGTTTGTTTGTTTTGTTTTTCGAGACAGGGTTTCTCTGTAGCTATGGAGGCTGTCCTGGAACTCACTCTGTAGACCAGGCTGACCTTGAACAAAGATCTGCCTGCCTCTGCCTACTGAGTACTGGGATTAAAGGCCTGCACCACCACCACCCAGTTATTGGTACTTCAAGACATTTAAATCCACACTCACATATACAGATACTATGTACACACATGCATACACAGATTTTTTTTTTTAAATGTCAAATAAAAAAAATCCAGAAAAGGCACCCTGGGCATTCTGTCATCTATGGAGAAGGGAGGGCAGCTGGAGGGGACACAGTTCAAGCAGAGGAATTTAAGACAGAAGGAATTATAGTGTTCTGGGAGCTGCAAAGGCAATGCAGGTTGACTAACCCTGCATTAATCATCACAGGACCAGGACTCAGAAGGTTTAAGTAGTAGAATTAGTAAGTTCCAGACCAGCCTGGGCTAACACAACGAGGCCCTGTCTAAAGCAATACAAGCACAAGGCTTTGCTTCCATCAGGCTGGCCCATCTAAAAACTCCAATAGGTCAGGTTTCTAAATACAAGCTGGGGTGGTACAGTCTTCTTGGTAACTTCTGAGTGCTTTTCCATATGAAAGAAAGCAAAGCTGACACAATTAAAAGGGGAAATTTGTAAACCCACCATCACATTGGCAGATACTTAACAACTGATAAGACAGACAAAGAAAATCAATAGGGATCAATAAAGATATGGGATATTTTAGCAATGTGATCAGCAAATGTGCTGTCATCCACATATATAGAACATTCTATATTGTCGTGAACATTGTCGTGAATGAAGTACAGCTGTTTCCCAAGTGTGTGCAGAGCACTAGGTGAGACATAAAGCAAGACTCAGTGAAGTTCAAAGTATAAAAGTCAGAATATATGTACATACAAATAATAGATTTAGTCAGAGATAAAGAACATTATAGTCAGACAGTGGTGGCACATGGCTTTAATCCCTGCAGTCAGGAGGCAGAGGTAGGTGGATCTTTGTGAGTTTGAAGCCAGCCTGATCAAAATGGGTTCAATCCCAGCACCCACATGGCAGCTCACAACTGTCTGTATTTTCAGTTCTAGGGGGATCTGATGGCCTCTTCTGGCTTCCTTGGACACCAAACACACCAAGTGGTGCTCAGACAAACATGTAGGCAAAAGACACATAGATATATTAAAACCAAATAAATCTTTTTTTAAAAAAAGTCTGTGAAACTCTAAGTTTTTAAAAGTACAGTTGGACAATGAAACTCAAGCTTGTAATTCCAGCACCCTGGAGGTGGAGGAAAGAGGATTAAGAATTCAAAGTTAGCCTGGGCTATGGGTATAAAAACAAAACCTCAAAATAAAAGCAGTCTAAGGGCTGAGGCTACTGCTCAGCGGTATAGCACTTACCTCTTGCCTAATATGTACAAGATCCTGGGTTTCATTCCCAGAAGAGAGAGAAAGAGAGCAAAAGAGAGTGGGGAGGGAGGGTGAGGGAGAGATTGATTGGGAGAAAGAGAGATTGATTTTCACATAGCAGCTGACACCATAATCTCTCATAGTGTTGAGTTGCTGGGAAGGAAGAGGGAATTTGGGGGAATCTGGGGTGGCATACGCTGCAACAGCTGGTGGAAAGTCCCTGGAGAGGAGAAACTGAGGATCCTTTGAGAACTGTCCTGCTCTTAGAACTGTCAACGCTGCTGCGCCCTCGGGAACATTCCTTGGCCTCATTGCCACCTCCCCCACCCTCAACAAACGAAGCCTAATTCGGATCATGCTCTGTGTGGGGTTTTATGGCCAGGTCTCATGTGTGCATCAACTAGGTTCTTAGGGACAGGAAGAGTAGCAAACACCTTCAAAATATGTCCTTGGCTACCCAACCAGCCAGCTGTGGAGTCAGCAGCAGCACCTGGTGGCTCTGACTGACACTGGTGGTAAATTTTTTACATTCTCTACACTACTCACAGAGAGCAACACAACTCACAGGGAGAGTCCCTTGTCCACACTGCCAGGAGGGCCCAGCCTCCTCAGGCCCTTCCCTTGTAACTGTGAAAACTGGAGTTGGTGATGGGGGGATGCTCGTGACACATTGAGTGCCATGTGGAGTCTTGCTCTGACTGACGGGGATAAATGAGGAAGGTAGCAAGTGAACAAGCAAACACCCTTGGTGTGCCGGGGGTGTGGGGTGGCACCTGGCCCTTTCCTCTTTTTGTGACTTTGGCTGTTGCTCTTTCGGTGTCATTCGTGCAATAGAAATAGGAAGAAGTTTGCAAGCTGGGTCAGGGGATAATTTGGTCAGCTGAAGGAAGTTTCTTCATCCTTGCCAACTTTTGCTCTCACTGCCTCATGTTCTACACATGCCCTCTCCTTTCATCTTTGTAGAAATATCAAATTTGTAGAACTACTGTAACCATTTTATAGATTAGAATATCGAGGCACAGAAATACGCCCCACCACCACCACACACACACACACACAGAGCTAGTAAAGCCTAAGAGAGGGGGAAGGGCCCTGGGACTCACTGTGTAGATGGATTCTGCTGGAGGCTTGTTGGTTCTGCTGGTGGATTTGGGACCAAGGCATGTCCTGGTGATGTGCTTGCCCAGAACTGACATCTGTTTCTGTGGGGAGAAGGAAGTCAGGGCTGTGGAAGCTGAGGAGAAGTAGCTCTCCCATCTCCCTCCCCTTACAGACCCCGGGGCTGGGGGGCGGGGGGTGTTGGATATTGCTGATTGTCATGGGGCCACACAAAAATTAATCACTCAACACTTCCCACTCACCCTCTCTAGGGAGAGGTGCCTGAAGCTAAAGGAAATGCAGAGACCCACATGAGGCATTGTCATAAGCAGAATGTCTGACTCTGGGGAGACAGGGCCTGGACTTGGAAGCCAAATTGTGGGTGGGCCCCATGTGGATGCCAGCCAACCCCTCACTGACTGTGGCCTGAAGGAAGATGTTTTCTCTCTAGCTTCAATGTCTTCGGCAATAGCAGCCCTTGGCAAGATGATTCCAAGGATTCAAAGAGGGGACATAAGTGAGGTGCTTGGTGGCACTTGGTGGCACTCAGTCAACCACCCTGCATTTGCTGAACACCTCGGCGGGACAATGTGAAAAGGTGGACACATTCCTGCCCTCCTGAACTTAAAGTTTGTGGGAGAGATAGGCAATACATAGCAGCTTTACCGCAGCATAGCTTCCTGTGCATGGGGACCAATGACTCAGGAAGGGGATACGAGGGGCAAACATGAGGACTGGAGTGTGTTCAGCACGAACAGAGGCTAGGGCTCCAGGCAGATCCAGGCAGAAGCACAGCAGGCAGGCGTGTACCAGACCTGCAGGCCTGAGGACCTTATGGAGAGGTCAGCCTGAGGTTAACTACCCTGATGGGCAGGATGACAGGCAGGGCAGTGAGGATGGCAGGAAGCATCAAGGGCTCCAGGTGGGGTGCCAAGACCAAGCCAGCTTTGGAAAACTCCCGAAGGCTAAAGCAAATGGCAAGTGGAATTGGAGAACACTGGGTCACCCTCCTGGAAAAGCACAGGGCCCGGGTGACAGTCAGAGGGAGGTGGCTTGAACGCCCCCCTCATCACAGGCACCACACTGCCAACAGTGGAGCAACAACGGCCTCATCTCAGGGCAGGAGCTAATTAAAAACCCTGGCCACCTGCCAATCCCCAGCCCATTTACTCCCGGATTAGTACTCAAGAGCTACTTAACTCGCAGGCAGAAGCCAGCGCCGCCCCAGTCTCACCATCATACAACTGAACATGGAGCCAGGCGGGGAGACATGACCTGTTGCTTGTGCTCCTCAACTAACCTGCAGACAAGTTAGTCTCGGGTCATCTCTGCTCTGCACATGAGGAAGTAAAGTCTCAGAGAGGGCAGGGAGTTGTGAGATCTCACATCCAGTAAGTGACAGGGGCAGGATTGGAACCTATGTTTGAGTTTGCTAAGATGCCAACCCAATGCTGCCTAGAGTGTTGGCATCTGTTTGTGAGCATTTGTAGGCCTCATATAGACAGGTGCTGCCCGCCATCTGTGTGAGGTTTATAATTCAGAAAGACCCTGTCCTTTTACTTCATTCTCTCAATGGCCTAAGGAAGTGGGCATGGACTCACCATCTCACATAGAGGGAAAGTGAGGCCTGTAATGATAGTAAATGGCTGTTCAGAGAGGAAATACAGATATGGCACCTCCCTGCACTGTCTATTCCTAGAAACACTGCCACAGTTAGACCCCGGGGACACTCGGGGCACATTGGTACCTCTGCCTTGTCAAGACGGCTGGGGTCACAGCCCCTCCCCTTCTGAGCCTGCTTATCCAAATGCTACCAGAGCTGAAGGACAGGAGCTCCCAGGCAGTAGCTACCTGGATAAGATCTTTGGCCCCAAGGCTGGATAACACAGGTCTTGGGCAACGGTGCCAGCCCTCTTCAGTGTTGGGCCTGACTGGGCACCGGAGATCCTGTGGCCTTTTGTGCTTGCCACTGAGAGCTCAGGGAGGTGAGTTACACTATTGGCCTCAGGAAAAAGCTCAAGTCCACAGGAGGTTACAGATTGCTAGAGAGTTGTGCAGAGGAAGAGAGAGGAGGGGGGAGGAGGGGGGGGAGGGGAAGAGGAGAAGAGGAAAAAGAAAGATGGCAGGGAAGAGAAAGAAAGGGGAAATGGGCAATGACAAGGCCATCGAATACTAAATGATACCAGTGCCTTTACTGGGAGGTGTGTCGAGAACAGTGGAAGCCACGGGAGTTGGAAGTGGTCAGATTTGCTCTCATCCACCTCCATGTGTGGCCTCAGATGCAGGTGCAAGGTGGATTGAAGTTTGGGAGTTATGGGGAGGAAGTCAGGCTCTTCTAACCCTATCCAGCCAGACAGGAGGCCTGGGCTGAGGCAGGAATCCTGTGGGGACAGAGGGAGCACCCTGGAAAACTTGGTTGGGTTATGTTTTGCTATGGAGGGTGTAGATGCTCTGTGCCTTGGAGCAAGCTCTGTCTACTCAGGACCCTGACCCAAGCAGCCAGAGCTTGTCCTTTTAGGTTGTGACTATTAGATGAGTAAGCCAGCCAGCGTGGCTTCTCCCATAACACCTAACTCTCTGTTGCCCGTGTTGTTTCCTCTCCCCAGTAGGCTGCAGTGAGAGTCAGCAGGCCTGAGCTCAGACCCAGAAGCTGCCCAAGAAACCTGTTACACCTCAGTTTCCCCAACTTTGAAATGGGAGCAATAATGTCTCCTTGCCTTCTTTGTGCCCTAGACCACACCTACTCATTTTTCAGGAGTCAGCATCCACATAGTCCATAATTCCTTCTATGAGAACCTACTATGTGCCAGGCTCTGGCAGGCACCAGGGATATCAGAGTCCCTGTCCTGTATGGGGCTTCACTCAGACAGGGAAACAACAGAAATGCAGAAGCCAGGGGTCAGATAGTAGAGAGAGGGGTGGTGAGCAAGGCACCAGAAGAGAGTAGTGGAGCCTAGCCAGGGCCAGGGAGAAGGGACCAGACCCTGGGCAGGCTGAGGGACTGGATGTAGGAGTGAGTAGACAAGCCACACACAGCTCCAGGGTTTAATCGTGAGCCCCTAGTTCCTGAAGAGTGTTCTTTTGGTGATGTGGGGTGGAGATGTCCTATGCCCCATACATATGACTCACCGTGTTCACCATACCGAGGTCTGGAGCTTGGGGAGGGACCTGGTAACTCATCAATGGATGAAAACAAAGCTCCAGGACACCTCAGTCACCCAGGTGCACAGAAGGGCTTTGAGAAAGGTGCCCAGGTCTTCCAGGGCTGTCCACACATACACACACACACACACACCCACACACACACACACACAAACACA